AAAATATAAGAGTTTATTTTAAATACCTAAGAAGAGTGTATGATTAAAACTTTTGATTTTTATTGATTTTAAATAAAATACAAAGTATTGAAGATATAAAATTTTTGAATGTTACAAAAATTTTAAAACTTAAAGAAAACTTTGAAAGCTTTTGTAGAGAGATTTTAGAGAGAGAGTTGATTGTAAAAATTGCTCATGTGTTGAAGTGAATGAGGAGGCATCTATTTATAGGAGAGCTTGAAGGAGCCTTTGATCATTGAAGCAATATTAGCCATTGATTTTGCTTATACTTGTTTCATTTTTATTGGATGATGTCTTGTCTTGCTTTGTGTCATTTCTTGCTCAATCTTTTTGTCTTTGATGCTAATAATGCTTGAGTAGAATTTGTTTTGCCGACAAATTTAGATGAGTCTTCTATGTGGGTCTCGGTGGGTCCCGCTGTCTTGGTAAGTCTTCTATGTGGGTTCCGCCGCCTTGGTAAGTCTTCTAAAAAGTCTTTTTGATATTTTAATAGAGTACATCTTAGATATACTCTGTATTTTATTTTACAGAATAGACGAATAATTTTGCAAAGAGCAAAATAAAATAATATACAGAGTAGATCTAAGATGTACTCTATTAAAATATCAAAAACAAGGAGCAAGGAGACCGAAGAGAAGAATGACACATGGCACCGTTTGGAGAGGGCAAGTGGGAAGTTCATGAGGAGGTTTAGGTTGCCGGAGAATGCCAAGGTGGAAGAAGTGAAGGCAACTATGGAGAATGGAGTTCTTACCGTTACGGTTCCGAAAACGCCGGAAAAGAAGCCTGAGGTCAAGGCCATTGATATCTCCGGCTAAGTCATTGTTGAGGAAGTTTGAAAGATTTCGTATTTTAAATAAAATTAAAAAGTGTGTTGGGTAGCCTTTTTGGTTTGGTTGTGTTTTGAAAATGTTGCCTTTTTCTGAAATTATGAATGTAGAATATCTCTCATTATAATGAATAAAAGTGTGTTTCTATAATCAATGACGAATGTTGGATCACATCTTTAACTCCAGTTTCACTACACCAGAATCTTCGAAGAATCTCCTCATCTGGAACATCTATAAAGTCAATTTTGTCATACTTTTTACTTATGTTTGTTATTTTTTTTTGTTTTTAAATGAACCTCCGATTACATAATACATAGATAAAAGTAGTAAGCACACCAAGAGGCAAAAGAGAACTAATCCTGAAAAATGTAAACCAAGTTGTGAGAAGTGTTATCGTATGGCAGATTTCTATGTCGCTTTGAAAGCGGGTCAAGACGGCAACGGATCGTGTTGTGGATATAAAAAAAATCTGTCCCTTGTAGGTAATCTATGGTGAGTAGCCACCCAAGCCAAGAAAGCATGTTTCAGGATATTTTCTTTGAATCAAATCACTTCGTGCTAGTCTACTATCAGAGATGGAGGATTTAAGTAATGCCACATTTCCGCAGTGGAGAACCGATTTGATGGAGGCTTATCACCTACTTTCCACAAATAGGTATCATCCTTAAGTAGCTGAATAATCGGATGTCTATTCCTACTCCTAGACAGCCACCAAACTCCATCACACAAAGCGTCTGAGACAACTGCATCATCCGGAATACCAACTACACTAAGACCACTATGACCGGTAATATCCAATAGAGGACCTAAGGAAGTCCAAAACAGATTATTGACATGTTTGGAAAATTAGTTTCAAGTATTATAAGAACTTAAAACTTTTTCTCTGGCAAAAATTTGATTTCTTCAAATTAACACATACATCTTTTAGTGTTTATAAAATGAAATTAAAATGGTTGACGAGTAGATTGGATCATAAGACATTTTTTAATCACAAGGCAAAATATAAATCAAATTCAAATTCATTCAACACTATATTATGTATATCCAACAACGATTAATGGTCCACGTCATCGTAAATTCTTTACGAGAATAGATGCATCCTCATAAACTATAAATAGATGCATCCTCATTCACTTTTATGGTGTTGTATTATTATTACCACTGTGTTATGTGAAAAGTGTTGGGAGACCGATAAGATCCAGAGCTGGCCTCTAAAATTGTAAAAATCAGAACGTAAATAACATTGGGCTTATTAAGTAGTACGTACTAAAAAAACAAAAACTAGGAAAGGTTATACCACTAGTCAGGGCCGTTTAAAAGGGGTGGCAAGTGGTTCTATCGCACAAGGCCCATGAAAAAAAAATTAAATTCTTTAAAAAAAAAGCCCAAATTTTTTTTTTTAATTTCTCTTGAAAATGGTCCAAATTTTTTTTTGCCTAAGGCCTTATAAAAAATTGAGACGGTCCTGCCACTAGTCACTAGACTAACATAGTTTTTAGTTAGATATTGAGCCGATAAAATATCTATTAAAATTGGGACCGCAAGCTCAATCTTGGTCTGGAGGGTCAATATATAGTGATAAGATCAACCGAGGTTACGAGCCAAAAAAAAATTTAGTTTTTTTAGATATTGTTTTAATATTTTAGTTTATGAAACATATATTTATTTTTGAATATACTGTTTTGATTTGTATTGATCTTAATAAAAATATGTACATTTAACTTATATGTCTATTTCTATGTCAATAAAAATCGCTGTATTTGTAATTTTATTCTTATAAAAGTAAATAATTCTTTTGTAACATATGTCATGTTTTTGTTTACGTCAATGATGATCATTTTGTAGTCAACGTTTTTCAGTTGAATG